TGCATAATGGCGCTGCTCAGCACTGAGAAGTACTCTGGCTTCACGATGGGGCGACAACACAGCAGAGCAGAGATGGTCTAAGTAAGAAAGGTGGAAAAAACATTAGCAGATGTTTGGAAACTAAAACATCCACTGGGTGAAATCAGGGACAGACAGCGGCTCTGACCTTTATGGTGACTTTAACAGTTGGCATGGCCAGGTGGGTGCAGTCCTGAGTCCAGCTGTTCACCAGTTTCCCCCCCATAGCTGAAAGGGCCTCAGAAAGCGATGTCTTGCCAGCAGCATCCAAACATGACGAACACACCACTGGCTTCTCTAGAAACACCACACTGAGGCAGACAAAGCAGTAAAATGACCAAACTGGAGGTTATCAGTACTTACAAAAGTTTTTTTTTCTTTTTTTTTTTTACACACGTGAATTTGCTATGAAAAACGCCAAATGTGACATTATCCCCCGATGACAGTTCAACGGGCGCCGTTAGCTGCTGATTGTTAACGAAGGTTCCATATTTGGACGTGTCCTTAAGTGTCAGGGTCTAAAAGAAAAAAAAAGGTGTTGAACACAGATTAAACAAAGCACAACAGTTAGCACGCATGAAACACTCACAACATCTAAAGTGAGAAGAAAGCGGGAAAGTCTGTGAGACATCTAGAAATTTCAAAAAGCACTATTAAGAAAAAAATGGAGGCAAGCCAATACTATAAATTAGGGATGAATGTACTGTTTGAGAGATGACAGCTTTACCTGGGTTTATGAAAGTATAACAGCATAAAGACATTTTCAAACCTAGAAGTCAGTTTAAAAAGCTTGTATAATATGACTTATGGCACTGGACGAGTTCTGGATAGTGAATACCTAAAAATAAAGAGTGTGTTTTTTAAACTTCAAATGGAAAATGTTTCTATTTTTACAGTTTTGGTTATTCTTGCAGCAAATTGGTGTTTTTAGAGTCTGCATACTCAACTGATTTCATTTCATTAAAAGATTAGTTTGAGATTATTTCAATAAGTGATTAACAAACTTGACCTGATTAACTATTATTAATTTTTTAATGATTAACCTTCCATTTTATTGTATCAGTATGTCAGTAAAGAAAAACAAAAAGAAGCTACTACCAAGCTTCAGTTGCTGCTTAGATTGCTTAGATTGCTCCTGTTTGTTAGAGTATGAATGGCAGGCTCTCTGCCAGACTGTTTCACATGATACGGCTACAGTCCCACTTGTTGGGTAGGTTACACTATCTCTAATCAGTCAGGTGCTACTGCAGAATAAAAACACAATAGTTATGCAGGAGAAACTCTTAGATGAGGATGAATTAAAGGAATAAAATGACATCTGTCTGGAAAACCCTGAGCTTATTCATTTTGTCTGTGTGTGTGTATGTTTGTGTTTGTGTGTGTGTGTGTATGTGTGCAAGGGGGTGGGGGGCATCTATGCTGAACTTTAAACTGCAAATCTAATCATCTGCAAATCTATAAATTTGGTTTATTCATATGCAAACGAATTGTGCACAACATACCAAAAAAATTGTACACAAAACTTGAAAGATAATAAAAAGTTAATGCAACCGCTCCTTTTTTTCTCTCACCTGCTCAGTCACAGTAAGCTGAGCATGAGACCTGCTGATGGATTGGTCACTGGGCAGAAGGATGTCACAAGCCTTACGGCCAACGACGCACGTTTTACCAGGGAGGAGATAGAAAGCTGCACCTGAAAAGAAAGAAACGTCAGCTAAAAACCTGATACACTGCAAAAACCATCAATAAATAAGTAAAAATGTCTTAAATTAATTGTATTTACCCTCAATTTGAGCAGGTAAATAAGATGATTTGTCAATGTAATTAGTTTTTTTACTCTTAAAATAAGACAATTAGATAATATACACTTGAAAACAGACAATGTAATTGTTTTTTTCTTATTTTAAATGTAAATCGTCTTGTTCCATTGGAAAAGTGTATCACTCACCTCCTAAATTCAAGAAATAAATACACTTATTTTAAGAAAAAAATTCTTATTTAGATTTCAATTTTTTGGAGTACTTGGTCATTTAAAAATAATGATACTAACAATAATTCAAAAAGACTTTTCAGTAATGAAGCCCAACTGGTGAGCAAGTAATAGATGAAATGTTCAACATATTCAACACTCCTCATATTTTTGCATAACAGCCCTGACCTCAGTCAAGGCAGCAGGGAACAGAAAAACTGCTGTTCTTCTAATCAATGAATTCATTATTCTCAGCTCTACCAGCAGACATGGAAAGTAATACTCTCCTTTGAGAACATGGCTGCTGAGAGAAAACTCAAAGCTAGCTCAGTTGAGCCTCAGTAAACTGCATCTAAACAAAACACAGAAGTACAGAGGTCTAAGAAGAAATGCCAAATGATTCTGCCAAAAGTAGAAATTACTGATTTTTTTTCCCCAACTATTATTGCAAATGTCATTTTATTTTGATTTTCCAACAAGCAGGTAGATCTTTCACTCCAGGGATTCATTGTTTTGATTATCTTAACATGCCTATGTCACAGGGCTTTACTGTTACTGTTATATGGAAAGGTGCTTACTTCTCCAGGCATACGTTGATCGGTGTGCAAGCTGCAACTATCTTCCCTTCTGTATGCTGCAAATTATTACCTGAAGGGCTGGAGTGAAAGTAAGGGTCTTAGTCTTGTTAGATTTAATGTGACCAAACCGATGGTTCTGTAGTTAAATGCCTCGCCCCAGTAGGAAGCTTCATTCAGAATGAGAGACAACACTAGGAAAGCTGAAAAGAGTAAAAAGTTGCTGTGTTTTATGCTTCTAAGCCTTCAACCTACATCTGTTCAGTTCAAAACTCACTAAATAGCGTTTTATTTAATAAATCCCTGATTCAGTGCAGAAACAGATTTGATTTTTCTCTAGCAGACTCGCAACTTTATGGTGAAATTCACATTATAAAGTGTAGCAGTTTACATCAGTGTCATAGGTGAACATGGTCATTGCTCACAACTTATTACATTATTAAAAGATATGGTTGATACTGACTTCAATGATGGACTTTGTCCTGTACTTGATGTTTTCCTTTTGTACTCACCAGATAATGCAGTCAGCCAGAGAGCCTTTGGATAGCCTCTAAAAGTTATTTTCTTTTTAAATTGTTCAGTCAGTTATTTAATTCTGTTTCACTATAATGACAAATTCAACAAATATACATTATACTGCACTTGTTATTAGCTATCAGACATACATGCACTAAAGCATCTTCTTTCAACCAAGGGGTAAAGTCTAGTTTTTGTCTTTAAAGGTTCTCAAGGGTACAAAGTCTTCAGGCAACAGCAATGACAACGTTAAAATGTATAAATGCCCAATTAAAAGGAGCTTTGATGGTTTAACAAAAAAAAAAAAAAAAAAATTAAGACGTTTGGATCATTGTTATGAAATTAAAATACAGCCATTTTATAGTTCAACATCTTCCATCTAACAAGAGAAAAGTAATTTCAGAGCTTAAAACTTGGATCTAATCTGCAAATATACGGTTTGTTTCCCAACAAAATTTAACCATAAAATCTAACTATGCATTGCTAAGGAAAGTTGCATAAAGCCCAAACTTCAAGGCTCTGAATCTTAAATGCCAAAGGGTCTGACAGTACAATTAGAACTGAAAAAGTGTGTATTGTAAGTTTCCTGAAGAGAAGTTCTGTATAGAATATTGCATCATGTTTCAGGTTTGCCAAGCCATCAGTACTGAACAACAAGAGAAACAAACAACAAAAAGAAGAAAAATTAAACAGAAGGAAAACAAGTATTTATATTTCATTGTAATGTAAAGCACCCCTTAGAGAGAAAACAAAAAAGACCAAATTGCAACTCTCAGGTACAGTAGTGGGGTAGTAATGATGAGGGCTTTTTTTCCCCACACAGTATGGTGTCAGCTCCCCTCTGTGTGAAAGTTGGAGTCTGCTTTGTGTTAAAACATCAGGTGTATTTTGTTTTTCCATAAAAACCTATGCTGTTTAAGTTCAGTGAATGACTGAAAAGTATTTATGTCTAAGATAAGATAAATTTCAATTTAAAGGTTCACTGCAGCCTTTAGCCTGTTGTTAAAGACATTATGTGCGTTTAAGACCCCTTATATCCTTTTATTATCATCAGACAATCAATGCAAAAACTTTAAGGAATGTATTCAGCAGAAGAAAAAAAATCACCATCGTGAGACTGCATGCAGCCTAACTTTGACCCGTTAGCCCGCAGCTAGCTTTCAAAATGTCGACCATGGTAAATAAAGTTACCTCCAGACTGCTGAGGAGTCAATATCCACATGTTTCAGTCTTTGCTTCACGATTCATTAATTGCAAAAAACAAAAACATTCGGACTGTGAAACATTTTTTTTGATAAACAAATCCTCATCATGCTGAACGCGCGGGCGCGCCACGAGACGTCATCACTCTGCGTCGCATCGTCTTTCAAAATAAAAGAAAGGTAAAAAGTGAAAGCGCGTTGCGCTGTAATAATAAATACATTAAAGCATGTCTGAATAAAAAAACTGCCCTGCCAAAATAGAAAACACAATAAAGTATAACAACAGTGTTGTATTTGTTCATCATTCATCAAATTAGTTACACTAAACAAGATAAGTAGTAGGGAAACCAACAAAAATGTGTATTTAAAAATATTTCCTAATAATTTGTGTTTGTATCAGAGAACCATTTCAGAAAATACTGGTTGTGACTTAATTAACCATCAGACACACGAGGTAACATGTAGTTCTTGCACATAAAATGTATTAAATCATGTACTCAATTGTACTTATGGGCTATACAACAAAGAAATAAACAATGAATCTATGGAGAATACATTTTTTTTCTTAAATAAAAACAATCCAATATTTAAAAAATCATATAATCCATTATTCATTTGCTAACATAAAAACCGGCTCAATTTATTTCTGCGTTGAATTTTTTGTTGTTGTGGTAGAATTTTGCTGGAAAAAAAAACAAACAAAACCCAAGTAGAAATAGATTAAAATAAAGTACAAATATGCAACGTTGTCTTTTATTGTTGCTTAGTCAAACACTAAACAATAAAAAATACACCATTATAAATTTTAAATAATGAGGTCTAATTCTAAGCCACAGGGCTATAAACATAACACACATATCTAGTGTATTAGCATTTAGTTTTATTAATGACTTTAATTTTAAATACTATTTTAAAAAAACTAATAAAAAAAACTCTTCTACTGTAATCAACAGATGCACAACAAAATATTGCTCACAATATTAAATATGAAAATCAAATTTCTACATGATTCCTTTCTTTTTTGACATATCCAAGCATGCATCACATTTTTTATTTTGTCTCATTAGCAGAACTTAGAATAAAGGATCATTGTCGGATTTCCAAGGCTGGCCAGCTGTTCTCAGACGACCCTGTCCCCACAGGCAGGGTAATTTGTGATTCACTCTCATCACAGCAACACTGGTGCAAGAATCCGGTTTACGAATGATCTCACACCATTCTGGGTAGTCAATGGGCTTAGTTGCACTGTAGGGCAGAAGAGACTCAAATTACAGCAATGATATGAATAGCAAATGTTTAGAAAGGGTTGATCTTAACTGCACAAGTAAACAAACTCACAGGTCACAGCATCCTACTCCAAAAGGCTCCATGCAGACACACTGGTAGCAGTCACTGGTTATCCAGCTCTCCCCAATCCCATACACTTGACCCATGTGTTCACAACTTGCTGATATGGACAGAAAATTAATTTTCACCTCAACAGAACTTTAAACATGTTTCTTTTTTTTTTAAATCATTGATGAGATTATTAGCCATTCATTTTAAGCACTGAAATCAGGATTATGATTTTTCATGTATTTATGCAATGTAATTTTCAAGTCAAAACTGTATAATTCATCTGAATCTGCAGAACAATAAATAAAGGTAAGATTTGAGTATAATAAAAATAAAAAAAAAAACACAAACATGGTAACTATTCAAACATTTTGCCCCACATGCTGAGACCAGGCTTTTTAAATGATATGCATTTATTAACAAAAACAGTTTTTTTTTTATGTACCTTTAGTGTTGAAGAAGCATTCGCCACTGTTGTAAACAGAGAAACATGGCAGACTGGCTCCCAGGAGCAGCAGTGAAGCCAGTAGTACTCCCATTGTTTTGGTTATTTCTGGTGAAAAACTGTGCAAAGGTGAATAAAGAAAAAAACAAAAACACTGAAAACAGAATCTGATAAAAGGTACAAACCTAGATAGGTTTTCAAGCCCGGTTGTTTAAAAAACCTTCAGACCTTTTAGTGAGTTCAGTCAGCTTTTCCTTTTCGTCTTCGTTTCGTTCACCGTCGTGCTGCCTTCATGTTCTCCTCTCTTCTCCTGTTCTTTTCTTTCTAAATGTCTGCACCTCCTTTTCAGTGCCACGGTTGAACTGACGCACTTTCTCCCTTTGGTCTCTTATATTTATACTGTAACGCCCCAGACTCATCATCCCCCACTCATGTATTACCTTCTACTATCTGCACACAAACAGAGACCCATAAACCCACAAGCATTTTGTTCACCATTGCTTCTCCCCTCCTAAGCATACAGTGTGCAGCCTTTCAGATAGTGTTTGTCTCAATGGATCCCATTTAACCCCATCTGTTACTGCTTGGTTTGCATCATCCATAGGACAACTGCATTTGTGTGTGTAGAAGGTTTACATCAACCTTTGACCTCCTACTTTAGATAAAGCTAAAAAAGGAAATATTTTGTCTTACATTCAAATACATCTTTGTAAAATTTTGGATCTATTACTTTTCTCTTTATCATTTCTCAAAGGGATTTTGTTCAGATAATTCAGAGAAAGAATAATCTATTACCGTAACCAAATTTGATTCTCAATAAAGTTACATCTCCTTTTCCTTTACCTCCAATGTGGGGTTTGTTTAAAGGAAATAAAGAGTCACATATTTAATGTTTAATTCAAAACTTTGTTTTTTCTTCTGTAAAACTATATTTGGAGCACACCAAATCTTATTTGTCAAATATAGATCTCCCTACAAATAATCGTTCAAGTGTAACTAAAGCAGGAAATAGTCATGACTTTGGTCTAAGCCACCTACTCAGTGAGACGCATTCAGATGTCTGAATACATATGGAGTTTGTTCTTCACTGATTTCTAAGCCAATTATTAAAATCATTGTGAATACAGGCTTAAATAACTTGGATAAATCCTCATTAGACCACCTCAATGCAGCTCATATATTTTCCAACACTAACATGAGATAATGAACGATTCCCTCTACAACCACTTCTAGGAAAACCCACTACAAGAATTTTTTTTTTGCACAACCACTGGTGCAAAAATAACGTATAAAATAAATGTAACTAATGTATTGAAGTAATGTCTTATTTGATCAAGTGAGCTTAAATTTTAAGAATATGGTATAAACATTAACAGGCTTGTTCTTGATAAAAATCCTTTTGTTTGGCCTTAAGGTATCAATTTATCCCTTTCCCTGTGAGTTTTCTTTGAGTAAAACAAAAAACTAATTTATGATTCAGCAGTGAATTAACTACACAAGATATTATCTTTCTTTCTGTGACAGGTACTGTTATTTAAGGGCTTCATCTAGGACGTACGGTGCCTGTCGTGTGTTATGATGTACAGTTTATCTGTTTTATTTAACTGCATCAGTCCTGTCCAAACTTTTCTGTGACCTGTACCAACACTTATGTTAATAATGTGGATTAAGAACACTACAATGTATACAATCGAACAAACAAAATTAAAATATTAAAATGAGCATTAAAGCTTTCTTTAACATAGATTATCAGAGACTAAACAATAATAATTGTTTATTGTTGGTCATGGTTGGTGCTTCTTAACATTTACTTTTTTATTGGAGTTCCAATAGTCCCACCTGGTGGGAGATCTTGATCGGTATTACCAAAAATCTCAGATATGCACACCTCATATTGTTAGTGTATAGATAGACGTGCACAGTGATACACAGCAATGTTATATTTACTGCTTATATCTATTTGATTTCATATTAGAGGGAAAAATTTAGTTGAACTTCAGGATTTGGGTTGATCTTTCAAACAATCAGCATAATGGATGGATGGATGGATGGATGGATGGATGGATGGATGGATGGATGGATGGATGGATGGATGGATGGATGGATGGATGGATGGATGGATGGATGGATGGATGGATCTTTTTATAATACCTTACTGTACATTTTCATTACCAACCACAATTTGTAAGAACAAAATGAAAATATAACAGAAAACATTTTTGAATAAACGTATTTATTTATGCAGTACCTGCAGGAGTTAATAAAAACAACAGGCATTCATCAGACTATGGACAAATATAACGTTTATAGTGATTTTAGAGTGACTGCTGATTGATCATATGCATCACCAAGTCGATGTTTAAACACTACTGACAGCCTGTTCTGATGGAGAATAGCTATACTATTTTGAAATGTGTGTCTTATCTTTGCTTTCTGCTCACCTTCAATCAGATAAATCTAAAAAAACTCTGCTGCAACCAACCTTTATTTTTGGTTGCTGCAAAAACAATGTTATCATTGACCTTTTTTCAAGAAATCACTCAGATAAGTTACATAAAGACAAATTGTGGTTATTGTACTCAATTATTTATTTACTTTAAAAATATCCTTATAACAGTTCAGTGTCTTATTTGATTAAAAATCCCATTATTGCTCACATCTGTTCCCACAGGCTCATTAGGATGGTAGAAATAATGCTTCCCTGAATAAAACCTTACATAATAAGATGCCCTTTGAGAAAAAGAACGGAATAGGAGGGGAGTTGCTCTATTAAAGCCAAAAAGCATCATATCATTATATAAAAATAGCTGATAGAATGTTAAAGTTAGTAACTCAAGAACATAATCAAGTCATGCACAATGCACTGTTCACAGAACAACCAAATTCCTAAAAAAATAAATAAAATAAAAGTTTTTAAAGAATATTCACTGAACTAGACAATGAGTTTGCTGTCAGTAACATGGACTGGAGGGTCTGATCATTCCTCGCTGTAGCAGGATCTTCCTGTTCATTTATTTACAGTCGCAACTAGAAACCATATGTGAGTTTGTCAGTGGGTGTGTGCCTAATTAAGAACAAGGATATAAAAAAAAAGAGCTGTTCAGATGTGAAACTTGAAATTCAGACTCCTTTTGTTTCTTTTATCGTTTTAACCTTTGGTAAATAAATGTTGGAACAAGTTGTACTGGTATGGAGTGCATTTGTTTCTCACTTAAGAAGTTGCTCCTATGATGACTTAAAGCCATGGTCTAAAGAGTAACGTCCTTTTACCCGAGTGGCCTCGCCAGAGTAGCTTAGATGTCAGAGCCAGACTCTGTAGGAATATGTCTGATATTTAGTTGATACGATGATGCACAAGAACAACCGAATATCAAACATATCACACAGCCTCTGGCGATTCAGTGGGGCCGTAAGGTCCAGCAGATGCTGTAAAGGAAAAAAGATGCAATTAAAGGAAAGAAAATAAAGCAACAAAAACAAAAGAGACATCATTGGTGTCAGTTGGACTGAAAAAAAACAACAACAACAAAAAAAAGCAGAACAATGGGCTCTGTAAGGAAAGGACAGAGGATCAGCCTTAAGGGCTCTGGACCTCTAACACAGGAAGTCAGAGACCTGGCTGGCATTTCAGATCATCATTTTAAATGCTTCTGGGAGCACAGGGTTGAACGTCATGTACAAACATAAAACAAGACTTACCTACTTTCTTAATCCAGACATGATGCCACAGTCTCTTCTCAGATGGATATCTTTTAAAGAAGCATTTCAGTGAACAAAAAAAGGAAAGCTTCATTTTAAGGTTGACCTGAAAAGTTCAAAAAAGAAAAGTCTCTCACGAGTTAAAATGCTTTGTATTGGTAGTGCAGCGTATATTTATACCCCTTCTTTGAGTTGAGGGGGTGTGGGTACCAATAATCGCCCTTTTTGGGTCCATACAAACTCACACAGATGTAATTAGACATGTATCGATCAGCTGCTGTGGCCTGCAGCCTTTCCTCCACACATTAGTCTGATCAATACTTGTGATGTTCATCCTACTGTGAACATGCTCACTCAATACACACACATGCATACATTCACACACACCACAGCATAGTCAGAGTCAAATAACTTTCAGTTTTTGCCTGTAGGGAGGACAAATCACAAGCATGATGGTCACTTCACTGTGTCCATTGTCATGGGGACAGAAAAACTAAATGTAGGATAAAATGAGATATGTTCAGTTTAACTAACTGCACGTAGAACTTGCATAAAAAGTTACCAGAGTCCTGCTGTGTAATTTAATATAAGGCTAAATACAACTGTTTCATGAAGGCCTTGGATGTTTGTTTGTAGCAATTAGCAAACATGAAGCAAATAACTTCATGAACAAAGCAGATAATTCAAGGAGATACTATAGAAAAATGGTTGAATAACACCAAATCTTTCGAACATTCTATCCCCATAGGGAAACATGGTGGTGTCGGCATCATGAATGGGAGGTAGGTTTCTGATTGAGTGATGGATTAAGCTGGGTATTTCTGGTACAAAATCAGTTAGAGGTGGCTAAAAGAATTGAGACTACGGCAGATGTTCAATCTGCCGAGTAACTGATAGCAGGACAATGAGCCTAAACATACAGCTAGAGCCACTTCAGTTTGTTTAGATCAACAGACACTCATGTGTTGGAATGGCCTAGTCAAAGTACTATATACATGCTCCCAATCGGTAGAATTATTGGACAGCATGGGATAAACTTCCACTGCTATTCTGATGAGACTCAACTATATCTGTCTATAAATCCAGATGAGGCTAACCCATTACATAGACTACAGGCATCTCTTGAAGACATAAAAATCTGGATTTCTCTTAACTTTCTGCTCCTGAATGCAGACAAAAGAGAAGTTATAGTTCTTGATCTAGAGTCTTTGTAAAAGAAGCTGATTTGCCAGTCACTTCATTTGGATGGGATTAAATTGATCTCAGACTATAAAGTAAAAAGTCTTTGTGTTGTTTTTGATCAGGACCTGTCAATTAAAACCCATATCAAAGAGGTCTCTAGAATTTCCTTCTTTCATCTGCGGAATATTGAAAAAAATAGAAATATCCTGTCCAGGGGTGATGCTGAGAAACTAGTCCATTAATTTGTTACTTCAAGGCTGGACTATTGCAATTCTTTACTATCAGGAAGTCCACAAACTGTAGTTAAAAGCCTTCAGCTGATCCAAAATGCTGAAGTGTTGTGAAAATAATTCCTTCTCAAGCTCAAATTCATGATACTTCCTGTTTGTCTACCACACATAATCACATTAAAATTCAAGTATATGAATATAAGGGATTAAGTTTATCGTTACTTTTTTTGATCAAATGTATTCCATTAATTAATGCATTCAAATTCCCTGGTCAA